CTGAGCCATCAGCCCAGAGCCTGGAGCCTGTTTCCGATTCTGTGTCTCCCTCTCTCTCTGCCCCTCCCCCGTTCATGCTCTGTCTCTCTCTGTCCCAAAAATAAATAAACGTTGAAAAAAAAATATTAAAAAAAAAAAAAAAGAGAGCAGAGCTTTCCTGTCTTTAATTAGCTTCTTTATTAGACCAAAAATTTATCTTCATTCTAATGACAATTTGTCCTTCACTTTGCCCTTTTTTCTCCAGAACCTGACAAACTTCAAGTATCTGAAATGTGTGATCAAAATAATAGTGTTTTTCACTGTATAAGCTACAGCCCCTATTCTTTATGGCTCATAAATCCTACCCCTTTTATTGTCTCATTCCCAATTTTTATAGGAATATTCTGGGTTTTGGTATGCTTAACCAGAGAAGCAGACTTAATTATTTATTCTTATAGTTCAGTGTCAATTATTTAACTTCGAAAGGAAAATCTAATCGACCTCCCCTCCTTCCACCCCAGCTAAAGGAAGTCTGTCCCTAGGCATGTCCTTAGGTAACTTTACTTTTGGAATGATCCTTTTCTATTCCCCAGTACTGATCAATGATCATTTAAGTGCCAACCCCGTGTTTTGTATATCTCAAAAGTCTACATTAAAGAAAAAATAAAACTTCATCTCTAAGTAGTTTCCTTTTACAACTACTGAGCAGAAAGAGCTCCACATGTAGCTCCTTTGGCTGAAAAAGAAATTCATTCTTCACTTTTAATCTAGGGTCTCTTGCCAAAATTACCTCTAGTGGCCTGGCCCTGAGACTGGCAGCCTCTAGGATGGCTCCCAGTTATCCCCGCCCTCTTGCTTATTCACATCCTTGTGCAATCTCTTTGCTTTGGATGTGAGCTGGACTTACTGACTCATTTATAATGAATAGAATTTAGCAGAAGCAATGGGATGTCACTTCTGAGATTATGTTACAAAGACTGTAGCTTCTATCTTAGACACCTCTCTTGCACTCTCATTCTTCCTCACTTGGTGCTCTGAGCCAACCCAGCTGTTGTTGTTCTACGTAGAAGTCCTTGTTGTAAGGAACTAAGGGAGTCCTCCGACCAACAGCCAGCAAGGTGCTAAGGCTCTCAGCCCAACAGCCATAATAAAATAACTCCTGCTAACAACCACAAAGTGAGTCTGAAAACAAATCTTCCTCTAGTTGAGCCTTTAGACAAAACTGTATGCCTGACTCCCTGACACCAACCTCACAAGAGGTCTTAAGCCAAAAATACCTAGCTAAGTCAAGTTCAGAGCCCTGGCCCACAGAAACTGTGAGATAGTAAATGCTTGTTGTTTGAGAACACTGAATTTGAGAATAGTGGATTGTTCAACAAGGGATAACCAATAGGCCCTTAAAGCCAATTTTTAAAGATTTCAGTCTATGCTTTTTATATAAGTTTCTGTTTAGGGGTGCCTGGGTGGCTCAGTCGGTTGAGCGTCCGACTTCAGCTCAGGTCATGATCTCACACTCCGTGAGTTCTAGCCCCACGTCGGGCTCTGTGCTGACAGCTCAGAGCCTGGAGCCTGCTTTGGATTCTTTGTCTCCCTCTCTCTCTGCCCCTCCCCTGCTCATGCTCTTTCTCTCTCTGTCTCAAAAATAAAACACAAACAAAAACAAAAACAAAACATATATAAGTTTCTGTTTAGGTCATTCTTTCCTCTGGATGTCAATGTAATTACTCATATAAGATTTTCTTATGGCACAAAAACAGACACATAGGCCAATGGAATAGAATAGAAACCCCAGAACTAGACCCACAAACGTATGGCCAACTCATCTTTGACAAAGCAGGAAAGAATATCCAATGGAAAAAAGACAGTCTCTTTAACAAATGGTGCTGGGAGAACTGGACAGCAACATGCAGAAGATTGAAACTAGACCACTTTCTCACACCATTCACAAAAATAAACTCAAAATGGATAAAGGACCTGAATGTGAGACAGGAAACCATCAAAACCCTAGAGGAGAAAGCAGGAAAAGACCTCTCTGACCTCAGCCGTAGCAATCTCTTACTCGACACATCCCCAAAGGCAAGGGAATTAAAAGCAAAAATGAACTACTGGGACCTTATGAAGATAAAAAGCTTCTGCACAGCCAAGGAAACAATCAACAAAACTAAAAGGCAACCAACAGAATGGGAAAAGATATTTGCAAATGACATATCAGACAAAGGGCTAGTATCCAAAATCTATAAAGGGCTCACCAAACTCCACACCCGAAAAACAAATAACCCAGTGAAGAAATGGGCAGAAAACATGAATAGACACTTTTCTAAAGAAGACATCCGGATGGCCAACAGGCACATGAAAAGATGCTCAACGTCGCTCCTCATCAGGGAAATACAAATCAAAACCACACTCAGATATCACCTCACACCAGTCAGAGTGGCCAAAATGAACAAATTAGGAGATTATAGATGCTAGAGGGGATGTGGAGAAACGGGAACCCTCTTGCACTGTTGGTGGGAATGCAAATTGGTGCAGCCACTCTGGAAAACAGTGTGGAGGTTCCTCAGAAAATTAAAAATAGACCTACCCTATGACCCAGCAATAGCACTGCTAGGAATTTATCCAAGGGATACCGGAGTACTGATGCATAGGGGCACTTGTACCCCAATGTTTATAGCAGCACTCTCAACAATTGCCAAATAATGGAAAGAGCCTAAATGTCCATCAACTGATGAATGGATAAAAAAAATTGTGCTTTATATACACAATGGAGTACTATGTGGCAATGAGAAAGAATGAAATATGGCCCTTTGTAGCATCATGGATGGAACTGGAGAGTGTGATGCTAAGTGAAATAAGCCATACAGAGAAAAACAGATACCATATGGTTTCACTCTTATGTGGATCCTGAGAAACTGAACAGAAACCCATGGGGGAGGGGAAGAAAAAAAAAAAGAGTTTAGAGTGGAAGAGAGCCAAAGCATAAGAGACTCTTAAAAACTGAGAACAAACTGAGGGTTGATGGGGGGTGGGAGGGAGGGGAGGGTGGATGATGGGTATTGAGGAGGGCACCTTTTGGGATGAGCACTGGGTGTTGTATGGAAACCAATTTGACAATAAACTTTATATATTGAAAAAAAAAAAGATTTTCTTTAAATTCTTCTTTGAGAGCAGGTAATGGCAGCTGTCAGTCTTGTTCCTAATTGCATATATAGGGCCTAGCACCTGGCCCCTGGATTCAACACTTCTATTTTTTTTACATGTCCTAGTGTATAGGTTACTCCTCAGTTTCCATATTGCCATGTCTTTGGATATTTAAGAGTTAGAAAACCTGCCAGTCTAACTGCCTTGATCTCTCTTTCCTTTAACCAGTTGACCCTCGTTTAGAACTTCAACACTGCTGTCTCATTTGAAGCAACTCTGTATCGCCTCTCTCCTTTGGGTTTCTCCAGCAGAACCAAGTCCATGTGTGCTGTCCTTTCCCACTCATGCCAGGACTGGTGGAAGCAGCAACCTTGATGAGGGAGGCTATGCTATTGTGTGTTGGCAGGAGATGCTCAATCAGCTGACTCCCTAAACATCTGGAGAAGCAGGTAGCATGTTTATTGGTATTTTGAAAGAAAGAAAGAAAGAAAGAAAGAAAGAAAGAAAGAAAGAAAGGGCAAAAGAAAGAAAGAGCGAAAGAAAGAAAGAAAGAAAGAAAGAAAGAAAGAAAGAAAAAGAATGAAGGAGGGAAGGAAGGAAATGAAGCCTGGCAATGTTGAGTGCTAAGCCTGAGGGTCACTTTGAAACTTAGAAGCAGAATCACTAGAACTCAGGTTTCCTGAAACAGGAAACATCATATCATGGAGATTCAAATAGAATCTTGGCTCTGCCATGCTGTGTGACCTCAACTGCTTTGCAGTTCTGAAATAAGAATTCATTAGAAAACAATTTCAAGTCAAAATAATTCTATTCCAGTTTAAACAAAAATATTGCTGAAATAATCATGCATACATAAGAAAGAAGACCAACTCATGTACATTATGCTATAGTTTAGGTTGACAGAAAGATAAAGCCCTAAAGAGAAATTACTTTCAGAATATATTGTCCAAATTATTTTTTGAACGTAAGCAGCAAGTGCTCTAAAAGTTTCTTTGGCAAAGACTGAATGTCAAAACCAGTAAGACATAAATATGCAAAGATTTCTAGTCTTAGAAGTTTTAAATGGTTTTTGCAACACAGTAGAACTGGGTGCTGAGGAAACCATAGAGATCTTGTAGTTCAGTGAATTTCATTTTACAGAAAAGGAAGCCAGGTGAACAGAAGTTAAGTGACTGCCTAGTTAAGGACACAGCCAGGATGTAATTCCAGGTTCCTGACTAACAGTCCTCCACTGCATGACACCAAGCTACCTTTGATGTTTGTTTGTTTGTTTACTTTTTGAAAGAGTGTGTGCTCTTTCACTAATCACAGCGGCACCATCGTCTGCTTCCTACCTGTTCCTGGGACTGGTTAAACTGCTGTATCAGTTGTGTTTGTGCCAGCATTACTCTATCTAGCTCATCTGACTTCAGCTTCATTTCCTTCCTCAAGTTCTCTGAAATGGAATCGTTACTGTCAGTTTCTTTCTTCAGGCGGGCTTCAAATTCTGCAACCAAATTTTTAAGGTTTTCAATTTCTTTCTCCTTTGATTCAGAATCTTCAGTATGTCGGATACAAGATTCATGGAGTTTTTCTTCAAGGGTGGCCACTTCCAGCTTTAGATCTCTAGTAGCACTTGCGATTAAATCAGATATCTGTAAGATAAATCTTGTATTAGTTTGTAGGCAATATCTCTAGGCAACCAAAGAGTCCTTATGGCTTTAGGTTTATTCTAAACAATCAGTGTGCTCTTCTTATCAAATGAAAACAAATCCTATGACACTATGTAGGGCTCCAAAATTTTCTTTTTAAAAGTTAAGACTAAAACCTATTTTTACCACCTTAAATGGAATTGCATTAATCACTTGGGCATCCTTGGAAATATATAAATCTTTGTGTCCGGATTGAGCTACCAAGGACAGCTCAAGTCTTGATCCACGTACCTGTCTGGATTCAGTGTGGGGTGGCTTTGGGACCTAGAAATGCCTGATGTTTGGGGATGCATATAGAGGAGCACCACAGTTATATTCTATTCATGCTATAATTATAGTAAGTTTTGTTTTGACATATATTTTTTCTTTCTTATATATGATGACTGGAGATGCCCTCAGGTACTATACCTCTAGATCAGCACTGCCCAGTAGAACTCTCTGTGATGACAGAAATAGTCTGTGATGTCCAATATGGTAGCCACTAGCCACCTGTACCTACCGACAGTAGTATGTCAGTAAATGTTTAGCAACTGATGCACACACACACAAAAAGCCAGATTTGGGGGCGCCTGGGTGGCGCAGTCGGTTAAGCGTCCGACTTCAGCCAGGTCACGATCTCACGGTCCGTGAGTTCGAGCCCCGCGTTGGGCTCTGGGCTGATGGCTCAGAGCCTGGAGCCTGTTTCCGATTCTGTGTCTCCCTCTCTCTCTGCCCCTCCCCCGTTCATGCTCTGTCTCTCTCTGTCCCAAAAATAAATAAAAACGTTGAGAAAAAAAAAATACTTTAAAAAAAAAAAAAAGCCAGATTTGTATCTAATCTCCATGTAGACTCCGTGTGGACTGGGTGTAAATACTCTCACCACGGCCAATTCCAAGGTATCAAGGTGACATAACCAATTGCTGAGTTGGGAAGAGAGGCCAAAAAAAGGCTCTGGCTTGCCAGTACTGGCTAGTGAGCATTTAGAATGTGGCTAATGTGGTTGAGGAACTGAACTTTAAATTTAAATTTTAATTACTTGAAATTTAAGTAGCCACATATGGCTAACATATTAGATTGTACAGTTCTAGAGAATACCAGAATACTTTGCAAATATACTATCTCTCAGGTGGTACGTCTAGATAAAGAGATGAGAGAATGAGAGATAAAGAGAGAAGATGAGGAGCTTTTCCTTAGAGTCATGAAAGTCTTTAGAAGGGAAAAGACTGCTTGTTTTCTTTCTCCTTAAAAAACAAAGAACAGAAAACAAACCAGGAAGAGCAAAGTTGCTTCTGATGAAACATATCCTTATTATTTGTGCTACAGATATTGTCACATTATAAATATTAGTACAACAAGAAACCAGTCCATGAAGAATCTGGAAAACATTCATAGACCAAAGTTCCAAGGATTCTGTGAACTATTATTTACGAGTAATGCATCCAAAATTTGTTTCAAATGTTAAATTTACATTAAGAATAAATTTTGCAAGAAATCTATTCACACTTAGTAACTTGAAAAATTAAATTAATATTCCATTATATTCAATTAATCCAGGAAGGAAGAGGATCATTGCTAGGTCTGAGCAGTCGTTTCCATCATCCAAAGGAGAGCTGACACTGAAAAAGAGCAGGTTATCTTTGGGACAGGAGACTCACAAAGCCACAAATATGTTTTGATTTTTTCAAAACAGGAGTTAGCATTTACAAATCAAGAGAATTCAATTAGAAAATCTGGATTTATGACTTCTTTTAAAAAACTATAACTCTTGGCAAGTTGGGGCCTGCCTTAATAGGCTTCTTCTGGAAGAAAACTAGTATAGGAGAGGTAGAAACTTGGGTGAGCTGAGATTCTAAGCTTTCAGCTATCAGCTTGGAATCTCTCAAGTGCACCATTGTCCCAACAGGATTTCACTTACAAAACACAAATTCAAAGATAAAGTTATTAAGAGTTTCAAGACAACATTTGGAGAGCATTAAACCCAAGAGGTATGAGGCATTTCTGAGTGTGGGCCCTGTGACACTGGACTTGCCATATACTCACGTAGCTGGCCCTGCCTATTGTTCACAGTGCTCTTGAAAAGGCTGTACCATATCTCCTGTTCACTGAAGTAGAGGCCATTAAGTCTCATTTGACGCCTAATTTACACAGACTGTTAATGAGTTTATTCAAAGTATGGTTTCCCCACTGGGTCTTGGTTAATATACACACACATATACATACACACGAACACATACGTATATACACAAACACATGTATATATATATGGTGCTGAGGTCTTATAATAACAGGACAACCTTAACAAAACCTTAAATTATGTTTAGGGGGCACCTGGCTGGCTCAGTCAGAAAAGATGTTACTCTTGATGTGAGATTATGAGTTCAAGCACCACACTAGGTGTAGAGGTTACTTAAAAATAAAATCTTCAAAAAAATTATGTTTAGCACACACTGTTTCAGAAATTATGGAGGTAGATTACATTTTTAAATATTTCCCTTCATTCAAAATGTCTAGAATTGAAAATATTTGCAATTAAAGGAGATAGGCTTTAGTTGTTGGGAAAATATTAATTACGTAAAACATCTCCTTATCATTTAATGTTGGATATTTGAAGTGTTGGAATATTTAGTCATGCTAATTATTAGTTATAAATTTATGCTGCCTAAAAAATAAGTTTATTGTATGCTGATATGATTTATTTCAGCTACTTATTCTGGAAAATAGCCAAACCATTCTACCCATGTAGCTAAAACCAAGGCACAGTGACTATGAGGAAAGCTACTTGAGTTATAAATATTGTACAGTGTTCTTACAAGGAAATAACCAACATCTATAGTTTGAAACCCATTAGATAATAATGAACATCATAATGACAGACCTTCATTTTTAGTTCCTCTTGTTCTTTCTTATATTTACAGATTATTTCTTGATGTTTTTCCTTTTCAATATCAAGTTCCAGTTTAGCTTCTGCTTTAAAAAGAAGAGCTTGCTCCTCAAACTCAACTAAATGCTGGGCTCTTTCCTTGGCAAGCTCAGCTTCAATCTAGAAAATAGTATTTACCACACATTTAAAACCATTTGACCTTAAGAAAAGGAAATTAAGCTTATTTTTCAGACTTTAATTAAACAATTTTTAATTCTAATATTAATTGTTTCATTAATTGAGTTTTTTAATTCTAATATTTAAAAAGAATCTGACTCAGAACTTAACCCAGAAAAAAAAAATGACCTTGGGTCAAATATTTCAAGATCTTCTAAGACCTTCTAAACTTTTAAAATGAGTAGAGAAGTTAAAACAATATATTCTGACAGTTTTCAGGAATACTAAAGCTTAGTGTTCTGTACCTTTGTATTATAAACCCAGTCCTTGCCAGAAACCCTATAAGAAAAAAATAAAAAGATTTTGAGCCCTTCAGACTGAGGTCTACTGAAAGCTCAGAGGAGATATAAAATAGAAATGTTGAGTTTTTAAATGATCTTTTCTTGATGAGACCCCAGAAAGTTCTGTAGTCACAGATTATCATTTTAATGTGACTGAGGCCAGAAGGATGATTAAGGTAAAACACAGTCAAGTCAGTGATGACTGTATCCATATTGGACCCAGATAGAACCATAGCACTGGAAGGGACCGTAGAAATCCCCTGGTTCCATTTCTCAAGCTTCCATGAATTGTGGAAAGAATCAGCAAGGGTTTTGGATTCAGATGGAACTGAGTTTAAATCCTGGCTCTAAACCCTTGGCTCTGCCACTTTCTAGCTGTATAATCTTAAATTGTGACTGTAACCTCTCCTGGTGGAGTTATAACCAGTTCCCTTGGGAATCATTATGAAGATTAAATGGGACAAAACATCTGTGTAAAGTTCTAGCATGAGCAGGGATTAAATAGTCAGTGAAGATTACTCCTGTGCTGTGACCCTTCAATCTCTATCACAGAATCTACACTAACCATTGTCTGCTCTGTGCCTCAACACCCCTAGAAACCATAACTCACTCCTTCCCAGCAAGCATTTCCATTTTCAGACAGCACTAAGCATTAGGCAGTTTTTCCTTTAGTTGAGCCAACATCTCTCTCCCTGTGGTTTTTAACCATTGGTTTTGGCTCTGCCTACTGGAGCAAGAGAGAGAACAAATCTATGAGTACTGGAGTCATTCTGGCCTAGTCGTTCATCTAGTGAGATTAGAGAATCCCAGTGACAGGCTGGCTCTAGATTTACATTGTGCCATGATTATAAATTCTTAGAAGGAGTAAATGCCAGGTAACTTGGGAGAAAAACTGTCAAATCTGACTTACTGTGACTCTGTGATTCAGACCACTATACAAGGAAGACAGAGGTCAACATGAATTTCTCAGGGAAATACTGAAACCCGGGTACCAGGAAACAGAAAATTTGCTAAGAAAGTTAACAGAAAGTCCTTTAAATTAAATAAAATGCAGATAGAAGACTAGCCCCAATGTGGGGTCAGTAGAGTTTATTGCACTGGTTAGAGGGCTGAGCATTTCCTTTAAGGAAAAACAATTATGTTTATACTCAATGCAAGGAGTTATTCTGGTTCTCTCAAAGTAAGTTTGTGGGTTGTTTGGGGAAAAGGATGCTAAGGATCATTTAGGAACATGATAGAATTGCTCATTTGTGTTGTGTTCACACTTCTAAAGACAAGGAAAGCCTCAGAGTCTCTCAAAAAAAGAACAGATGTTTTTCTGAATTCCAGGTACTTACATCCACCTGCCTCCTGCTAGCCAATAAATATCTCAATGAGATATACCAGAGGTGTCTCAAATAAACTGAAGCAGAAACCTTTTTTTTTAATATATGAAATTTATTCTCAAATTGGTTTCCATACAACACCCAGTGCTCATCCCAAAAGATGCCCTCTTCAATACCCATCACCTACCTCCCCCCCCAACCCCCCCATCAACCCTCAGTTTGTTCTCAGTTTTTAAGTCTCTTATGCTTTGTCTCTCTCCCACTCTTAACCTTTTAATTTTCCTTCCCCTCCCCCATGGGTTTCTGTTAAGTTTCTCAGGATCCACATAAGAGTGAAACCATATGGTATCTGTCTTTCTCTGTATGGCTTACTTCACTTAGCATCACACTCTCCAGTTCCATCCATGTTGCTACAAAGGGCCATCTGAAGCAGAAACCTTAATACAACTGTCTCCCCCTGCCCCCGTTTCTTCCCCAGTCCGAACACAGTAACCACAATCCATCTAGTTATTCAGGTCAGTAACTGGGGCATCATTTTTATCTTTCACACCTAACTCGACACCAAGTCTTATTCACCTCCAAAAGATGCCTTGAATTCATTTCATTTCTTTTCATTTCCACTCCCGACGCTCTAGTTCTGGCCACTATCACCTCTTCGCTGGCTTCCTTACTGCCACTCCTGCCTCTCTCCAATCTATGACACACACAGCAGGGTGTTCTTTACAAACTATAAACTGGATTATTTTATTCCCTTTTAGTGGTTTCTCAATGCATTACTATAAAATCAAAACTCCTATACATGATTTTCCACTGGGCCACCACCAGCCCATGCAACACTTTTTTGTGAATTGACAAAGCACCCCTTCCTCAGAGGAACACAGCCTCATGCTGAGCAGAGTACTTGGTGAGCAGAGCACTGGCTGGATTCCAGCTCTCTTCTCTCCCTTGGCCTGTACTACTGTGCTGGGCACAAGGCAAACACTGTTTATGGCAGCCCTGAACTTCTCCAACCTGACTTTCACTTTCCCCATTTGATCACAGCCCCGTGCTCCAACCATGTTGGAATAGATGAGTCAAGAGCACATGAAAGGAGGATATCAAGCGCAAAACATTTGAAAAACTCGCAAGGTGTAACTTTAAGAGTTAATAGCTCACAAGATGCCTTGATACTATTAAAAAAAAAAACAATTAAATAAACACGTTTTGAGAAGCTGAAGAAAAATGTGTGCCAAGGTACTAAAATAGCAAGTGTTCAAAAAATTCCTTGTGTGGCTAATTGGTAGAGTTGAATTGTTATTTTAGGACAAAAAGACATCTTTCAAAATAAGGACTGATTGCTCAAATTAAGAGAACAAAAAGATATCCAGACTAGGTGGGACAGGACAAACTACGAATTAGATGACAGAAAGACTTTAGAAGGACTTTTAAAAAAATTATTTAAATTAATTATGGGGAAGAGGTCATTTAGGAAACCAGTAGAGTCCCTTGATGAAGATGGAGCATTAAGTACTCAGGGAAGAAAAGAAGGCAGCTGGTGGATTGAATGAGTAGAATGTTCTGTTCTGAGGCAGGTAGCAGGGAGATCTTCTTGCTCCTGAACTATTCCTTGGAATGAATACTTATAGGTAAAGAGAAAGAGAGAGAGAGAGGGAGAGAGAAAGGAAGAAGGGAAAGAAAGAGTATGAAGATAGAAGAGAGCAGAGTGATTTTACTATCACTGATTTGATTTTTAGTTTGCACAACCAGAGAAAGAGAAGCACAGTGACGAGCTTCAGGAGGGATTTCTAAACGTTTAAGGAAGCTTCAAGGCCATCTGAAAGTGTTGACCCTGTAGCATAGAGAGATGATACTATTGGTTCCTTCATAATCTGAATAGTTTGAACAAAATGAGAAGCCCACAAACACAAGGATTTTCTTAAGCCAGTATATTGTCATTGAGAAGATGAATTCATGCCAAATTATCACGTTTATATTTTTTACATATTGATAGAAGCTGTTTAAAATATCCTAGATGAGAGAGGTTCCTGGGTGGCTCAGTCGGTTGAGTGTCAGACTTCAGCTCAGGTCATGATCTCACTGTGCCTGAGTTCAGGCCCCACGTCAGGCTCTGTGCTGACAGCTCAGAGCCTGGAGCCTGTTTCAGATTCTGTGTCTTCCTCTCACTCTGCCCTCTCCCCACTCATGCTCTATCTCTGTCTCTCTTTCTCTCTCTCTCTCTCAAAAATAATAAACATTAAAAAAATTAAAATATCCTAGATGAAAATAAATAAATAAATAAATAAATAAATAAATAAATAAAATCTCTTCAATGAAAGAACTTATGCTTATACAAAATAAATGAATTTGGTGATGGTGCTTATATAAAATACAAACTACTTTATATAATAACTAATAGTAATTTTCATATTCACGGGGAAATTCTGATTTCTAAATCAATAGCGCTGCTGGGGATTCACTCAAGGGATACAGGAGTGCTGATGCGTAGGGGCACTTGCACCCCAATGTATATAGCAGCACTTTCAAAAATAGACAAATTATGGGAACAGCCTAAATGTCCATCAACTTACGAATGGATAAAGATGTGGTTTATATATACAATGGAATACTACTTGGCAATGAGATCTGGCCATTTGTAGCAACATGGATGGAACTGGAGAGTATTATGCTAAGTGAAATAAGTCAGTCAGAGAAAGACAGATACCATATGTTTTCACTCATATGTGGATCCTGAGAAAATTAACAGAAGGCCAGAGGGGGAGGGGAAGGGGGAAAAAAAAGTTACAGAGAGGGAAGGAGGCAAACCATACGAGACTCTTAAATACTGAGAACAAACTGAGGGTTGATGGGGGTGGGGGAGAGGGGAAAGTGGGTGATGGGTATTGAGGAGGGCACCTGTTGGGATGAGCACTGGGTGTTGTATGGAAACCAATTTGACAATAAATTATATAAAAAGATAAAATAAAACAAAAGCATGAGTAATATATGAGCTCAAGAGTTACACAAAGAAAATAAATTGCTATCTGTGTACACATTACAGGTTTGAATTTTTCTGCTTTTTATTTATCCATATCCCCCATTAGCTCAAACTCTATCTCCTTGGTGAAGGCTTCCTGATGATTCCAGGGGCTTCCTGATGATTCCATTCTGAGTATGTTGTTTTTAAATTCCTTTTGTATTTGTGTTGATATGCATTATTAGTATAACACCTGTGTCTAATACTGATGTTCAAAATACCATCTTTTCACTATTTTCCAAGTGAGTTATTTGTGGTTGATTCTGAGATAATTTTCCGTCAATGGAGCCAAATAGCATATTGTAACATAATCACTCATTACTG